AGCTCAATACAACCGTAGAGCAGACCTAGATACACCTAGTGAGCCAGACAAACCTACCTAGGTTTCACCTAAGCGGATCATCAGGGAAAGCTGGTTAAAAAAATAATTATTTAACCCCCCCCCCGGTGTTCTTGTGCTTTTCTTGTTTTTATTTTTCGTTGGTCACATGGTATGATTTTGATTATCGCTGTTTCTCTTGCCTTTTTTAGTCAGCTTTCCCTGACGATCCGCTTAGGTGAAACCTGGGTAGGTTTGTCTGGCTCACTAGGTTTATATATATATATATATATATATATATATATATATATTCAACTTCTCCGTCAACATCCGTGTATATCAATTTAAATGTCCTTTGGGAGATTGAATCGCTGACAAAAAAGTAATTATATATGTTGGTTTCATGAAGACAACATTATCAAGAAGGCTTACATTACACTTGTCGGATTCAAGTTCTATTGCACAACATTTAAAAGAACATTCCTGCCAACATTCATGATTTAGAGAAATATTAATTGGCAATACAATTATACTTCACCATGAAAATAAAAACAAAAGCTTCAAATTCTTGAAGCGCTCTATATAATAAATTTTAACCAATACTAAAAAAGATTCCTCAATTTGTAAAAAAATATTTTTAAATTGCAGATTGGGTATTTTAAAACATTAATAATGAAATAATATCAATTAAGTTACCTCCCTTGCATTTTATTTTTAAATTGTCTATGACGGACCGTGTTTCATGCACATTTACAAAAAAATCACAGCGATCAATTACATTAATTTTTTGTCTTAGCAATTCACCCCTGAGGATGATCTTGGATGAGATGGAAAGTACTTTGGGAAAATAAAAGAAATAACTAAAATCACAGCGTCTTTCTTAATCAGTTTAATAATAACAATAAGAAATTGATCCATGAATTTGAGAGAATTAAAATAAAAACAGATAGACTTAATATGTCTAGATTATTCAACCAAACATGGAATATACATACATATATATCAGTGCGTCAAGACAACTAAATGGTTCAAGCCAGGATCGAAACACGATCGATTTGGTATCAGTCTGAGTTTCTACCCACAAGCCATCAGCGCTTCGGCGGAGAGAAAGACGAATTCTAGCGTTTTGTTTTAAAGAATATAAACAAACGCCAGACAGCCAGAGTGCTCTATTCATTCATGAAGAGCGATGCGTTAGTACTGACAGATGGGCGAATTCTATAAACAGCAGCTGTCAGCACTAACGCATCGCTCTTCATTAATGAATAGATAACTCTGGCGTTTGTTTATATTCTTTAAAACAAAACGCTAGAATTCGTCTTTCTCTCCGCCGAAGCCCTGATGGCTTGTGGGTAGAAACTTCGACTGATATATATATCTAAGAATGTATTTTCCATTACCTCTTTATTTCACGCTCTTTCCTTTCGCTTTCTATCATTTTGTTCATTTCCGATAATGAATCCATTTTTTTACATCCATTGCCGCCAATTTGATTAATCGATAAAAAATCCGAAAACGAAATGAAAAGTTGAACACAGAAACAAAACATGATTCGATAAAAATTTTAAACGTATAGCAAATATAAATTAAAATGATAGGGAAACAAAACTTGTCATTTTGGTTTACTAAAGGTAGAAATAGAGAGCGAGAAGAAAGGACCAAGCATCAATTGTAATAAGACAAAATGGCAGGAAGAGAAACAGCTCATGATGCGAACTACAAACAGGAGATTTTAAAAATCAAACAAGTCCGACAATTTAAATATCCGGAAAGCGTTTTAACATAAAGCGAAAAAAATGTGACACCAAAATCCGAATTCGTATTAAAATAACGAAAGTTACCGCCCAAAAGTTAAGCAAAGTTTTAAACAAGAGAAAAAATTCGTTAAAAGGTAAAGAGGAATGAACTGTTATATAAAAGTCTTCCTGTGTGACGGTGAATGCTGGACAATCTCCTTACAGGAGAGAGAACAGAAATGTGGTTCTACAGAAGAATGCTGAGAATACCATGGACGATACATGGGAATAACGAAGATGTTTTAAGGGAAAATAGAAACAAAATGACACGTGTACTTAGAACCAGAAACAGTTGACATTTCTAGGACTCATTATAAGAAAAGAGGGCTTGGAGAATTTGACACTCACAGGAAGGAAAGACAAACTGAGGAAAACAGTGAGTAACCTCACTAACCTAGCTTGTGTAAATGGGTGGTTAAACACGGAGAAGGAGGGCTAGTGAAAAAACAAACCTCACTAAGAGCTATAAAGTATAGGAAATTGTGGAGGTCTATGATCGCACACATCCTAAAGGGACATGTTATATAAAAGAAGAAGAAGAAATTAACGAGATCAATCAGCATAAAAAAAATAAACTATGAAAAACACAGCAAATGATTTGGAATGCCATTTTATATAAAAACCGTTTAAGATAAAATATTTACTTCTTTAATTCGGGTCTTGTGTAGCCTTCTTTCTTTTTTAGCCGGTCCGTCCAAGGTTCAATCCTCGCGGCTGATTGTTGAGTTGATCCAAGCTTTGTCTTATCCCATGTTGCGTTTAATTTTGATCATAAGGCTGGCAAGGATCGAATCATTGGCAGGATTCGTTGGACTGATTTGGTCCGAGCAGATTGAAATCACAAGTAAAAAAAAATAATTTGCATAAAACACAATGTTTTTATATACGTTCTTTGTACGGAACTTAATATTTTCATTTGTTCCTATGTGTGCTGTTGCTCAAAAAAGTTGAGAAACACTGGCTTCGAGTGAATGATGCCACAGCAAGAATAAAACCATCAGTTTCAGCTTTCAACCCTGCACTACATAGCCACTGATGGATACGGGGTTTGTCTACATCAGCTTGTTTGGTACGGGCAGAGTATTGACTATGAAGAGGCTTATCTTGCCATCGTTTCTGCATTTGGTACATTGCATTTGTTTTCTTTTTGGGGTTCTTTACTGCTGCAGCAGGTGTATTATAGTTTTTTTTGCTATTCAACACCCACTTGAAATCCTTTTTGAATTTGTTGGCTTCATTTATTACTGAATAAAGTTTCTTATTTCTTTCATGTTCTTTGACACAGATCGCCATCCAGTCTTCTGTATTTTCAAGGTATCTTTGAAGGCCGATTGCTGTGGTTTTTAAGAGTTTTAATTGAACTAATCCTCTGCCTCCTTCGATCAACATCAGCCATAGAACGATGCATGCGGTGGCAATTGAGAAGCTTTCTCGTTTTGACATCCCTTTGCTTAATGTCAGCTATGGTCCATTTAACGATGTCAAAACTGTTTGTACCACAGGGGAAGCCAAAGCGTTTATGGCTGATATTATGTTATTATTCAAGTCGGTATTTAACGCCTATAGTA